AGAGATCAAGTCTACGGGACCACACACCACACCACCACCGACACACTTGAAAATGCTATGGAAATATATCAGTGAGGGCCAGAGATCAAGTCTACGGGACCACACACCACACCACCACTGACACACTTAAAAATGCTCTGGAAGTATATCAGTGAGGGCCAGAGATCAAGTCTACAGGACCAGACACCACACCACCACTGACACACTTGAACCTGGCATGAAAAATGGGTAGCAGTTCTTTCAGATAGATTTTCCCTAAATAATGTCATATATCTGATGAAGAAGACATGACAGTATCCAAGAAATTAGTACTTTATATCATAGGCGTATCCTGAGGATACAAATACAACTTGAACTTGAACAACTTCATTCTTGCATGAGAACTAAATTTAGAGATGCAGGAAAGTCAAATTTTACTCAACTAGACATCCCATCATAGAATATAAAATAGGATGTGTAGTTCCCAATGCTGAAACCTCTTTACCCATATTCTTAACTTTAGGGATCACAAACTGTACAATAGAATGCTCATTTTCATCTCTAAATCCAAATCTAAACCAACGCCACTGAGTTGATTCCAATTCAGTGACCCTGAAAGACACAGCACAATTGCTCCTTAGGGTTCCCAGGACTACAACCCTTTACAGAAGCAGACAGCGTCCGCTTTCCAGAGCTCCCCAGGACACTGTGTCTGACCCATTACAGCATTCAGAGATCCTCAGAGTGCAACAATGACTGAAGAAGACTTGACTCGTTACCCTTATACATATGGAAGCAGATATTGCTTAGCAATGTTAAGTGTGACAAAAATCACTGAACAAGTTTTAAAGAGCAAAGAATAGAAATAAGTATTTTAAATTATAACATGGTAGAGATGAAATACCTATCTAAAAATAAAATGCAATAATTGGTTGTAGTATTTGCTTTCTAATCATTAAGACATCTCTCATGATGTTATTTCCTTTGTAATTGTAACATTAACTATGAAACTAATATCAGAACTGAAGAATGAGCTATATAAGCAAAACTAGGGAAAGCCAATGTTTCTTTGTGGGAAACCACAGACTTTTATACCGACCGACGAAACAACTAAGTTCACGGACTCATTTTCTTTACTGTTCAATATGTAGAATATTCTTTTGTAGAAAATGTAGTATATAGTAAAAGTCTTGGTACCCTACCGCACATAAAGTAAAATCTTTATAATCCAGTTCATCTCCTTTTGATAAAATGACATATGCTACTTTTGTGTTCAATCATTAATATCATAGTTGCATTTGAAAAGAAGTGAACATCATGGGTAGCTAAGACACACATGGGCACAAGAAACCTTTGTATATAGAGAACTGACACATGCCATTGGATTGTGTAAGCAGTAGAGCGGGAAGCAGATTATCAGTGCTCAGGGCCCTCACATGCCTTATGCAACCCCAACGCTGGAGTCCTGGTATGGCGCTGCAGGGTAAGAACTGCAAGGTTGGCAGTTCAAACCCAAAAGCTGACGTTACTATGAATCAGAAGTGATTCAAGAGTACTAAACAACAAACCCAGATAAAGAAGAGTTTTGTGTATTCTTCATTGTTTTTCTGTGATTTTGAAATTATTTATAGGAAAACACTACTTAAAAAAAAAAGGAAAACATACCTTTGTTCAAGGCCTTTTAAAATCTGAGGACCACCACTTTCAACAACCTAGTTGTTTAAAAAGAAGGAACCATTACAATGGTATGGAAGGTGATAACAACAACAAAAAAAATCATATAAAGCTGTTGCAATGAAACTCATCTAAGATTATGCACTTAAATTTTCCATAGCAATCTTTTTCTGATAGTATCTGCTGAAGCAGGGTCAGATTATTTTTATTATATAGTAATAAACATTTATCTTAATTTAACTACATTAAAAAAAGTATTTCCAAAGTACTATAAAAATTCTGAATATACCAAACAATATCTATCTACTTTTATGAGCTGGAGTCCTGGGATAGTGCTGCGGGATAAGGTGCTGGACTCAAAGTTGACGTGAGCCGCAAGGTTGGCGATTCAAACTCACCGGCCACTTCTTAGCAACCTTATATAGGGTCACTGTGAGTCGGAAGTGACTCAATGGCACTTAACAACTTTTATGAGCTACTAACCAAAGGAGGAGCTCCTTAACCAAGTGAGGAGCTCTGGTAGCATAGTGGTTACAAATCAGGCTGCAAACCTCAGGGTCAGCAGTTCGAAACTACCAGCTGTTTCACGGGAGAAAGATGAGGCTTTCTGCTTCCGTAAAGATTTACAGCCTCGCAAACTCTGTATAGGTCACTATGAGTCAGAACTGACTCCACGGCACATTAACAACAACCACCACCAAATGAAACACTATGGATACAGCTTGCGGTCACCATTCTCCCACTAGCCCAGTCTTGCAAAGAAAACCACCATCCTGAATCTGCTGTTTAAAGTGTCAACAAAGAGTAACATCCAACAACACATTCTTTCTGGTAACACTAGGTGTTGAGGCCGTTGCTCTAGTTCACTTTCAACTGAAGATCGTGTGTGTGCTCTCCCACAACTTAATCAATCACTCGCCTCTGTTGCTAACTGACTTTATCTCTATTTTTAAGAAATGCATTAGCAACGCTAAAAGCTAACATTCTGAGGTCTCCTTAAGCATCCAGTGTATCTACTTGAGGAAACTGATGGCCATCCATAGGATATAAGCTTCCCTGACTTGCCTGTTAGAAACTAATTTGAAATTTAAGCCAATTTGACAGACATCATAAGGATGTTTCATTTAACTTGCTTTTCTTGCTTCTAAGCATTTTCTTGCTTCTAAGGAGATGAAAATTTGTCACAGATTTGGCCATTTGTGATTTCCTTCAGTGAATTCGTATTTGTTGCCGGTTCCAATGGAAAATGAAGCATTTTGATTACACGCAGAGCAGTAATGTTCTCTTGGGAGCACACTGGTAGTGCTGCAGGATAAGTGCTGGGCTGCTAACCACACAGTCAGAAGTTCAAACCCAGCAGTTGCTCCACAGGAAAAAGATGAGGCTTTCTGCAACTGGAGACATTTACAGCCTAGGAATCCTATAGGGTCGCTATGAATCAGAACCGACTCTACAGCATCCAACAATGTTCTCTTAGTGTGTAACTTCCTTTTCACTTTGTATACATCTGTTTTTTGTTGAACTGAAGTTCCAACTGTTGATTTTCCCATTTAAGTTTTAATTTATCTAAAACAGTTTTTGTATGTGATGTGAGATCAGACTTCTTCCCCTCTCAAGTGGAAAAAAATTTTTTTGTCAGTTCTAGCATGTTCTAGTGTAGCACTGGACCACAAGGTCGGTGGTTCAATCTCACCATCTGCTCTTTGGAAATCCTATACAGGATCGCTGAGTTGAAACTAACTCAATAATTAACAACAACAATAACAACAAAGTATCTTCAAAGTTCTGCTCCTAGTTCTCTTTCTCCACCCTTGTCGGAAATTTCTTGCCTAAGCACAGATGTAGTCCTGTCTCATTTATCTGAGTAGTTTTGTACCACCACTGTCCTTGGTCCTCTGCTAATTCTGGGATCATCTTGTCATGTTACTGTCGTTAGGGACTGTCCTGTTGGCTCCATTTCATAGCAACCCTGTTCACAACAGTAGGAAACACTGCCCAGTCCTGCATCATCATTGTGCATGACTAAGCCCACTGCTGCTAACTCAGGGCCAGTTCACCTTGCACCTCGGTGACCCTCCACTTACCAAGCATGATGTTCTTTTCCAGGAACTGGCTCCTCTTGATAATATGTCCCAAGTATGAGATGAACTCTTACCATCCTTGCTTCCAAGGAGCATTCTGGATGTACTTTTTCTAACACAGATTGGTTGGTTCTTCTGGCAGCCCATGGTACTTATACTATTCTTTTCAAACATCGTAACTCAAGGGCATCCATTCTACAGTCTTCCTAATTCATTGTCCAACTTTCACATGCATATGGCACTACAGAAAACGCCATGGCTTGGGTCAGATGCACCTCAGACCTTGAACTGATTATCTTTGCTCTTGGATACTTTACAGATTGCTTGTGCAGCAGATTTGCCTAATGCAATATGTCCTTTGATTTCTTGATGGCTGCTTCCATGAGTGCTGACTGTGGATCAAAGCAAAAGAAGTCTTTGCCAACTTCAATCTTTTCTCCATTTATCATGATGTTGTTTATTGGTCCAGTGGTAAGGATTTTTGTTTTCTTTATATTGACGTACAATCCATACTGAAGGCTGCATCTCTGATCTTCATCAGTCAGTATTTCAAGTCCTCTTCACTTTCAGAAAGCAATCACAGGTTGTTAATTTTACTTCCTCTACTCCTGATGCCATACTCTTCTTCAGATAATCCAGCTTCTTGGCTTATTTGCTCAATAGGTATGGGGAAAGAATACAACCATGGTACATACCTTTTCTGATTTAAAAATATTCAGTGTCCCCTGGCTCTAGCTGCACGACTGCCTCTTGATCTCAGTACAGGTTCTTCATGAGTGTAATCAATTGTTCTGGAAAACCCATTCTTCACCACATCATCAATAGCTTGATAGGATGATCTACAAAGTCAAAGGCCTTTTCATAGCTAATAAAGCACAAATAAACATCTATTTGGTTTTTTCTGCTTTAAGCCAAGATCCAGTTGATGTCAGCAATGGTATTTCTAGTTCCACATCCTCTTCTGAATCTGCTTTGAGTTTCTGGTAGGTAGTTCTCTTTAGCAAAATTTTACCTGCATGTGGTATGAATGATACTGTGTTTGGTAATTTCCACAGTCCATTGGCTCTCCTCTCTTTGGGATGGGCACAAGTATGGATTTCTTCCAATCAGTTGGCCAGGTAGCTGCCTTCCAAATTTCTTAGCACAGAGGAATGAGCGCCTCTAGTGCTGCATCAGTCTGCTGAAAGGGTTCGATTTGTCAATGCCTTCAATGCAGCTACTATTGGTTTTTGATCATATACTACTGATGGAAATGGTTGGATACATGCCATTTCCTTTTGGTACAGTGCTCTGAGTATACCTTCTATCTTCTTTTGATGCTTTCTGCAGCATTCAATATTTTGCCCATAGAAGTAGTAATAGATGTTGTTGTTATGTACCGTGGAATCGGTTCCGACTCATAGTGACCCTGCATTGGGTTTCCGAGATTATAAATCTTTACGAGAGCAGAAAGCCTCATCTTTCTCCCGTGGAACAGCTGGTAGTTTTGAACTGCTGACCCTGAGAGGTTAGCAGCCTGATTCATAACCACTACAATACCAGAGCTCCTTAGTAGTAATAGATGTTGTTGTTGTTAAGTGTCATCGAGTCGGTTCCGACCCATAGCGACCCTGTACAGGGGTTTCCGAGGGTGTAAATCTTTACAGGAGTAGAAAGCCTTCTCTTTCTCCCATGGAGCAGCTGGTAGTTTCGAACGGCTGACCTTAAGGTTCGCAGCCCGATTCGTAACCACTACGCTACCAGAGCTCCTTTAGTAGTAATAAATAGGTGCCATTAATTCGGTATCGACTCATAGCGACCCTATGCACAACAGAATGGAACACTGCCCAGTCCTGGGCCAACCTCACAATCACTGCTATGCCTAAGCCCACTGCTGCTGCCGCCACTGTGCCAATCCATCTCTTTGGGGGAAATGGGAGAGGAAGGAGGAGGGAGGGAGAGTCTTCCACTTTTTCTCCAATCCTCCACTTTACTAAACATCATATCCTTTTCCGTGATTGGTCCCTCCTTTTAGTAAGTCTGAAGTATGAGAAACGAACTCTAGCCATCCTGGCTTCCAGGAGCACTCTGGCTGTATTTCTTCTAATACAGACTGGTTTGTTCTTTTAGTAGTCCCTGGTACTTTTTTTAATACTCAGCTCCAACACCATAGCTCAAATGCATCAATTCTTCTATGGTCTTCCTTATTCACTGTCCAACTTTCACATGCATGTGAGGTTACTAAAAATACCATGGCTTGGGTCAAGCACACCTTAGTCCTCAAACTGACATCTTTCCTCTTCAACATTTAAAGAGGTCTTGTGTAGCAGATTTGCCTAATGCAGTATGTTGTTTGATTTCTTGACTACTATATTCTTGAGTGGAGTCCTGGTGTGGAGCTGTGGGTTAATGCACTGGACTGCAAAGTTGTTTGAGCTGCAAGGTTGACAGTTGTCATCTGCATATGGCAGGTTGTTAATGAGTCTTTTCCAGATTCTGATGCCATGTTTTTCTTCATACAATTCAGCTTCTTGGATTATTTGCTCAGCATACAGATTGAATAAATACGGTGAAAGAATACAACCCCGGTACGCACGTTTCCTAATTTTAAACCATTCAGTGTTGCCACGTTCTGTTCGAACAGTTGCCTCTTGGTCCATGTACAGGTTCCTCATGAGCACAATTAAGCGTTCCAGCATACTCATACTTCACAATGTTGTCCCATAGCTTGTCATGATCCACACAATCGACAGCCTTTGCATAGTCAATAAAGCACAGGTAAATACTTTTCTAGTATTCTCTGCCCTCAGCCAAGAGCCATCTGATGTCAGCAATGATAATCCCTCGTTCCATGCCCTCTTATGAACCTGGTTTTAACCAATGGAAGTAGTCCGCTGTGAATGTATAGATGCAGCCATTTTTGGATGCAACTTTATTCGCATGTGATATTAATGATATTGCCTGAGGATTTCTGAATTCCATTGGGTCACCTTACTTTGGAATGGGCACAAATATGGATCTCTTCGAGGCAGCTGGCCAGACAGTTCTCTTCCAAATTTCTTGGCAGAGATGAGTGAGTGCTCCTAGTGCCACATCACTTTCTTGAAAGATTTCAATTTTTATCTCATCAGTTCCTGGTGCCTTGTTCTTTGCCAATTCCTTCAACGCACCTTGGACTTCTTCCTTCAGGATCATTGGCTCTTGATCCTATGCTACCTCTTGAAATGACTGAACATTGACCACTGATTTTTGTACATTTTGTCCATAGAATCCTTCAATATTACAACCTGGGGTTTGAACTTTTTTTCTTTCCTTTAGTTCTTTCAGCTTGAGAAATGCAGGGCATGTTCTTTCCTCTTGGTTTCCTAACTCCAAGTCTTTGCAAATTTCACAGTAAGATATGACTCTGTCTTATGGAGCTGCCCTTTGGAAGGATGGGTTCAGCAAGTGACCCTCCTCATTTCTTCCAAGTGCTTTAGCGTCTCTGTATTCAAGAGCAAGTTTCAGAGTCTTTTCTGATATTCATTTTGGTCTTTTCTTTCTTTCCTGACTTTAAAATGATCTTTTGCTTTCTTCAGGTATCATGTTCTTGATGCCACTGCACAGTTCTTTGGTCATTATAGTGTCTAATGCGTCAAATCTGTATTTGAGATGGTCTCTATATTTAGGTGGTATATGTTCCAAATCATATTTTGACTCTCATGGACTTATTTTAATTTTATTCAGCTTCAGCTGAACTTGCATATGAGCCACTGATGGTCTGTTTCACAAGTCTGCCCAGGCCTTGTTTTGGCTGATGATGTGGCGTTTTTCCACTCTCTTTGCACAGATGTAGTTAATTTGATTCCTGTGTATTCCATCTGGTGAGGTACATAATCATCTGTCACGTTGTTTAAAGAAGGTATTTGCAATGAAGAAGTAATTGGTCTTGCAAAATTCTATCACATGAGCTACAACATCATTTCTATCACCAAGGCTGTTTTTCTCAACTGCTGACTGTTCCTCTTTGTTTCCAACCTTTGCATTTGCATTACAATCACCAATCATTATCAATACATCTCTGCTGGGGCCAATTGTCAAGCCCTCCCAGAAGATTAGAAATAAAAAGACAAAAGACACAAATGCAACAAGTAAAGTTAGAACCAGGTGGGACACAGCACTCTGATGGAGATACTGTGGCACAAACCAAGTGCAGCAAGTTGATTATATACACCACTCACGGGGAGGTGCTTGAGGGAGGGTAAGGAATGCAGGAACATCTTGTGCAGAAAGTAAATGCAGTACACAGAACTTTAAAAGAAAAACTGTAACTTGTAGTAGCTAGCTGGACACAGATTCTTGTTGTTGTTAGGTGCCATCAGGTCGGTACAGACTCTTAGCGACCCTATGCACAGCAGAACAAAATACTGCCTGATCCTGGGCCAACAACCTCAATGTCGCACACTAGTTAAAATAAACTACTATCAGCCCTCCTCCATCTTCTCCCTTCACGACCTCTCCCCCTCCTTCCTCTAGATAAACAGCATAGATCTGTTTGGTCCATTTTCAACTTTACATCATTTGAATCACAGTATGCATTCTTCTGTGCCTGGCTTCTTTCTTTCAGTATGGTGATATTTACCAATCTGTTGTCCATCACCGAGGTTCACACATTTTTATTTATAGCTACAAGACAATTTCACCCACTCTATCACTGTAGACAGAGTCCTGAAGGATAAGCACTGGACTGCAAGGTCAGTTTGAACCGTAGGGTCAGTGGTTCAAACTGACCAGCTGCTCCTTGGAAGCCCCATGAGTCAGAACCAACTCGACAGCACTTAAGAACATCATCCCTGTAGATACTGGGTGTTGCCAGTTGTTGACTACTATGACAAATGCTATAAACAGTCTTACAGATGTCTGTTGGGGCACATGTTTATGCATTTTTGCTGGGTATATACCTGAGGTCTCTGGACGGCACAAACTATTTGCACTTGGCTGCTAAGCAAAAGATGGGCTTATCTAAAATCAGGTGCCTGACAGTGTCACCTAGATGGCCAGGGAGACTGCTGTTCTCAAGTGCCATAGAGTCGGTTCCGACTCCTAAGACCCTGTATAGGGTTTCCCAGGAGCAGCTGGTGGGTTTGAAGTGATGAGCTTGTGGTCTGTCTGAAATCCAGTCCTGGTCCCACCCAAGAAAATGCTACAGAGCTTAGTTCTGCTCCAGAACACACAAGGTGCCCCCATGAGGTGAAAGTGACCTGAGGGCAAACGCCAAACCGGTTCTTACTGTCGAGTACAAACTTTTTCTTTTTTTCCCGATTTGGCCCCAGTTTTCATGAGACATTTGCCAAACTATCTTAACAAGTTTAAAACACTGTTCATTTAGGGAAAATAAAACCATGTTATCATGTACAAATTTAAATGAATGCTTTACCTTTCTGATGAAATGATTGGAAGCTAGGAGCTGAGACATAAAGGACACCGATAAATATTTGAAATGCCGCAGTTGCTTGCTACTGTGAGTGTCGACGTTAAAAATCTGTAGCATTTCTTCTTGTGACTCACTCTTATTACATATAGCTTTGGGAATGGTTTCTGAAAAACAGCAAAAAAGTAAGTGATCTCAACCAGAGTCCTTACTATCCACATTATACCTTATTAGCTATAGATACATACATGGAGCTTTAAAGGACAGCATGGGTAATGGGACTCCATTTTCATTAAGAAATCTATTCTTTTATTATAGCCACAGTTTTCATCTTTTATATTAATGAGAAACACCTGAATTTTTTTCTTTACTGCATGTATTATAAAAGTACCCATCAGTCCTGAGGAGAAAAAAGTGTACAGCAAAACAAATAAACAAAGCAAAAACAGGGCAACTGAGACAATCAAAGAAATGGACGATACAGAGCTCAATGCTAGCTGAAGTCTTCACAATCTCAGAACCTAACCCAAGGCTCTGTCTGTACTGTACACAAGAAGGGCCATTCCTACCCCTACAGGTTCAGTTCTCAATTAGAAGGTATGTGTCTTAAACTATCAAACTTTAAGGTGTAGGAAGAAACGCTTATTTGCAGGTGTCTAGCTCTGGTAGCGTAGTGGTTACGAATCGGGCTGCGAACCTTAAGGTCAGCGGTTCGAAACTACCAGCCGCTCCGCGGGAGAAAGATGAGGCTTTCTACTCCCGTAAAGATTTATACCCTTGGAAACCCTGTACAGGGTCGCTATGGGTCGGAACCGACTCAACGGCACTTAACAACAACAACAACAATACATGAGAAGGAGCTCTGGTAGCCTAGTGATTACGCATCAGGCTGCGAATCGCAAGGTCAGCAGTTTGAAACTACCAGCTGTTCCGCAGGAGAAAGATGAGGTGTTCTGCTCCCGTAAAGAGTTACAGCCTTGGAAACCCTGTACAGGGTCACTATGACTTGGAACCGACTCCACAGCACACAACAACAATACATGAGGGTTTAGGGGGCAAAGATCATGAGGGAGCTAATGGCCAGTCATTAAAAACCAGACTCAGAGAATGATTCAACATAAAACTCCTTCCCTAACCACGTGACCACACTCAGCTTTCCCGGCACCTTCCTGGTTCTGTCCCTGACAAATCTTCCCTGAGCAGACTGAAAAGGGTAGATAACTAACACTATTCAACTTATCGGCCCTTTCATAATCCACTCTCAGGGGGGCTGTGATTAGTGGCATTTGTATCTTCTTCAAGATCCTATGTGGTAAATTTAAAATTTTTAGTTACCACTGCTGTGGGACATTTCCCCCTTTTCTTTTTCTGTACATGTCTTCACAATTACTGCTAACTTATTGGCTTCATTAGCTGTCTCTTTAGCTTCCTGTTACAAAAGTACTTGTGAAGACATTTTGCAAGAAAAAACAGGAAGAAAAGAAAAATGTGCCGAAGAGAATTAAAAAATGGTTACAGCAGTTTATCGACAGGTATTTAAAGATCTGCGAGATATTTAAGCCAGAATCAGGAGAGAATATGGAATCCTCGAGGATGTGACTGCTGACGTCAGATGGATCTTGGCTGAAAAAGTAGAGATTACCAGATAGATGTTTATTTATGTTTTGCTGACTATGCAAAGACCTTCAATTGTGTGGATTTTAACAAATTATGGATGATATTGTGAAGAATGGGAATTCTAGAAACACTTCATTTTGCTCTTACAGAATCTGTATACAGAATGTGCTTTAAAATCCGTAAAGGCATGCATCAGGGTTGTATTCTTTCACCCTACTTAGACAAATTGGATGCTGAGCAAACAATCCAAAGAGCTGGATTCTATGAAGATTAACACAGCATCAGCATTATAAGGAAACTCAGTAACATCGTGATACACAGATGCCACAATATTGCTTGCTGACAGCACAGAGCATTTGATGGAAGCACTCACTGAAGAAAGTCAGACTATCTATGGCCTTTAACCTGGACTACACCCAACACAGAGAACACTCCTTACAACTAACTGTCTCAAGAAGCAAATAGCATGATAAACAGAAGAGATATTGACACTGTCAAGGATTTCATTTTATCTGGATCCACAATCAAAGCCCACTGAAGCAGCAATCAAGAAATCAAAAGACATACTGATTTGGGTATATGTGAGTGATGGGTAAATCTGCTGCAAAAGATCATTAAAAATGTTAAAAAGCAAAAATGTCACTTTGAGGACGACTAAGGTGCAGCATGTGAAAACTGGACAATAAATAACAAAGACCAACCAAGAACTGAGCCCCTTGACCTATGATGTCCACTGAGTACTGCAAGTGCTGTGCACTGACTCTCAAAGAAAGTTCAACCAGAAGGTCCCTTGAAGCTAGGACAGCGAGACTTCATCTGCACACTAAAGATGTTACCACAATGGATCACTCACTGAGAGACATCATGTTTGGTAAAGAAGGTCAGTGAAAATGAGGAAGACCCTCAACACAGTGGCTCCAACAACGGGTTCAAAGACAGAAACAACAGTGAGCATGTGGCCCAGGACTGAGTAATGTTTTCATTCGACTGCACTGTTAACTGACTCAGAATGGATGTGATGGCACCTACCAACAACAGCAAGCTTCCTGCTATTTTAAAAGAACTCACCCTGGATAGTTCTAACAGTTTACAACCTGTAACACACATCAGTGCAAAGACACAGAGGTCTAACAGACAATGTGAGGAATGGAAAGAAGAAATCCAACTATTTTCCATAAGGACTTAAAAAGGTACAGGATCACGCTCAAATGAACAATTACAAATTTATTAAAAAAAGCTTTTGTAAACATGCACCATGGGTTCAGATGCTAATCCCCACTGCTTATCTCTAGCTTTCATATTAAACAGTAAACGCTTACCTTCTTTTTCTTCAGGCAGATGTGTTAAATACTGGAGGATATTCATTAAGCTTTGTATTTGATGCTGGACACTGAATTCACAACAAACTGATATCCAAAATTCAGTGTCTGCCTCTAACACAGCATCCTGTATGGAGAGAAGGGAAAGAGGTGCCCATCAAATGTATCCCAGGATTCAGGATTCACGGGTACTACTTGACATACTCTTCCTCATGTGTATCACCAGATGAACAGAGAGCTCCTCTCATGAGAGCTATTTTAGGACAATCATGAGGCATCATCCCCAATGTATGTACATTAGGATCTCCAGCTGAACCAATTAATGCAATTAAAAAAAAATATTTTCTTGTGAATTATGATAGTTTATATGAGAGAACCTCAGTTCCATATTCATTCCACCGTATATCATTACATTGCCATGGTTCCAATCCCCTCCATGCATCGTCTTCCGACCAAAGGACATATCCTAGAAGCCCGTGCTCTACACTCCCCCCTCTCCCCTCAGTCTTCGGCCCACAGTTCCTCTCCCTCTCTGGATCCAAAGTCCCCAGCTGCTTCATCCCTCCATGTCATCATCTCTGTCTCCATCTCAGGCATCCCCGGTTCTCTGGGTGGGGTCCCGTTCTTGGCTCTTATCCGTTGGTGGTCCCAGAGACCTCCGCTCCTAGACTGGAGAAATAATCGCTCTCTTCCTTGCTACAAAACATCTACCCTTTCATTTCTAACCCTCACAATCCGTCTTGATAACCATTATTCACTATAGTATCGTGCGTAACCCATCTGTATTTCATTTCATCAGCTCCACCTAGACAAATTGGATAGTAATCACTGGTGATTCTGCCTTCTTCCATGTCCCCTAGCTCTAGGTTCCCTCTTGAAAGCTTGTAAGCCAGTTACTTCTTGCCTTTGTAGACCCTCCCTCCCCCCCCATTTGGGTATCCAATGTCCAAGTTGCCCCTCTCTGTCTACTCAAATAATGCAATTTTATGTAAGTAACATGTAGGTCATACAAGGTGCTTCAAAAAGTTTGTAGAAAAATAAAATCAGAAGATAATGGCAATTTTCCACAAGTTTTTGAAGCCCCCTCACTGTTTCCCCCCCAACCAAATGATGCATTCTCCTCACACGTTCGTTTTCTATGCATGTCACGCATGGGCACATTATTTGAGACAAACACGGTATACTAGTTTACTCTGAAAAGGTGTAGATGCCAGGCCTGACTAAGAAGTAATTTAAACATAGTTCTTCACATGTACCACCTCATGTTTTAACTGACTTCAATGATGTTCACAGTGTCCCAAACAAATTTACAACACAAATATCTCCAAAATCACTTTCAGAGACATACTGTAGCTGAATTACTTTTTAGCCAAACTCTGTTGATCTTAAAATAAAATTACCCAGCATGGGAGGTGACTGGCTTTCAGAAAAGTCAAATCACCTTTGGATATTTTGCTGCTCCTAAGAACGTTCAGAGTGCCACAGAGTCTGAGGAGCAATCGTAAAAAATGCTAACATACATGAAAAGGGTCTGCACAAGAGCTGTTAAATCATCTACATCCACCATGCTGTAGTTATGAAGTGTTGTCAACTCGATGCCGACCCATAGCAACCCTGTATGGGGTTTCCGAGGAGCAGCTGGTGAGCCTGAACTACCAACCTTGCAGTTCAAAAGGCTTTGCAGTCTGACCATTAATGCCCAGCACCATAGCAGGACTCCAGCATAGACTGCCCTATATTTAACACAGGAAATATGACAAGATCTGTGTGAAGTGCAACCATTTCCTTTCTTATCATCCACCCTTTATTCTGACCTTTTCTCCATAGGCAGCTGCCAGCACCGTTTTAGTGACGTACTGCTCAAAGAGCAACAGAAGGAGGACCCAGAGGAACTTCTCGGCGCCCAACGTATCAACAAGCTGAACCAGGATGGGCAGGCGTCTGTGTTCCGGAACATGCGGCAGTGCATCCACAAACACACCAATGATTTTGATCACAATGTCTTCAATGTTTCTTGTGACTTCTACAGACTCTCCACCATCAGACTGCAATAGGGGCAATGAATAAGAACAATTAACCCACTGCAAAATGAGCTTCAAGTTGAGGGGAAAAAAAGGCATGAAATGTAGCAAAAAACAAAAAAAGCTAAATTAAGAATTTTCATAAGCAAAGATTATCAATTACATGGCAGGCACTGCTTGGCCCTGAGAGGAATATCAAGTATGTGAGCCTTGTCCCAAAGGACACTGAAGATCTCTATGAAGCAGGTTGCTGGCAATGGCAGCAAGTCTGCGCCAGGCAGTCTGGGAGGGCCACAGAGAGCCAAGAGGACTGACTACGCGGGAACCTCGAGAGGAATGGGCACCATCCACACGGGATGTGGTCAGTAACCCCCGGATGCTTTCATAATAAAATTCAAATGCTTTTACTCCAGTATTGGTGTCCAGATATATGTGTTGAACACACAGATTAATACTTGGATGAATGAATGAACACCCTTTTCTTCTACCTGTCCCAACTCTGCTCTTTGTCAAATCAAGCATATCACATTCCTCAAACACACTGTACATATTCCCAGACCACACCTGTCTTCTCAGGCTATGACTCCACCATCTCACTGAGCAAATCCTATCCTCCATTCATACCACCGGACAGTCAAGGCTCTGTGTCAATTTGGCTGGGACAGGCTCCTCAGTTGTTGGGCCAGTGTGATTTGACGCAATTACCCAGTGTGGTATCAATTCTCACTGCCAGGATATTCATGAGGCCAGATGCAATTTACAGGACTGGGCTGTATCTTGAGCCAATCTCTTTTGAGATACACACACAGGCCAACAGAGGTGGTCGGAGGCCAGAGTGAAGTGCGTCCTTTGCACCTGGGGTCCTTACACTGTGAAGCTCCTGTTGTTGCTGTTGTTAACTCGGCTCCAACTCTGAAAGACCCAATGCACAACAGAACAAACACTGCCTGGCTCTGCACCATCCTCACAAATCTTGTTCTACTTAAGCCCCTGGCTGCTGCCATGGTGCCAATCCATCTCATTACGGGGGTCTTCCTTTTTTTCACTGACTCTCCGCTTTCCCAAGCAAGGTATCCTTCTCCAGGGATTGGTCCCTCCTGATAACATGTCAGAAGTATGAGACATGAAGTCTCACCCTCCAGGCTGCACCCCTAGATCCAGGGAAAGACGGATGCCAAGGTACATGGAGATCTCTAAGGAATACTGGGTGTAAAGATGCTGAAAGGAAACAAGGGCCTCTCTGCAGACCCTAGAGACGGTACACTGTAGCTTCCTAAACTGTGAGGGAATAAAGGTGTTTGTTGGAGCCACCCGATTGTGGTATTTGTTACAGTCCTACTAGATAAGATAATGAAGACACACCAGTTCAAAGCTATCTCCTATAAAACTTTCTGGTCCTAAGGACCTTTCTCTGTTCTGAGCACTTCAGCATTTACTGATCCCATTGGCACTTATCACATGAAAGCAAAGGTACGTTTCTTGTTCATATGAGTATACGTCTTGTACTAGACAACTTAATAGATGCAGAGACGCCTAAGACCAAGATTTAAAGGGGAAGATACACAATCATTCTTTGCTGAACATGGCATACCAGGAATGGCTGATAGCACGAGAAGAGACATGAACACCATATGATTTAGTATAAACATAAAACGCAAGTAGTAACAACTAAGATCTTTATCTTTGAGGTAACATTTTCGTTTCAAACTGACAAACTTCCACTTAGCTCTATGAGTACTCAGCTTTTGGCAAACGCTTGGTAAACAGCTGTTAATGGTTACTACAAAAAACTACAAAAAAGGATATTACCATTAAATTGATGTAATGTTCTGAAATATACAGCAAAAGTAAATTCATTTTGTCACGATAATAAGATACTTAGATATATATACCCTTGCAGCATAGCAAAACCAAAAATGTGCGTTTATTCATATTCTTGGAAAAAACATTATTTCCAAGACAATTTCTTAGCATCATTGTTTTAAAATTTAATAGGTACATGCCACTGAGCAATTCCTAAGGACTTTTAGTGTTGTTTACTTACTACTACTTGAATATCCATACTTCAAAAAAATTTGAATAAAACATATATATACTAGTGATGGTATAAAGGCAGCTTACCTGAATAAGTGCCGGAATAACCATTTTCACTGTCTTGTTAATAACTTGAAAACTGTAAGTGTCATCTAGACGCATGACATTGGCTCCCATAAATGTGAAAATGGACATGATGTTGTGTAGAACTTTATCCTGGTCAAAAAAAGAGAAAATCAGGTCTATCAAGATTTTCTATTTTAAACACATTAAATATCAGTAATTCATTACAATAATAAAAAGGCAAATAACCCACTTAAATACATGGCCAAAGGACTTGAAAAAACTCTACTTCAAAGATACATAAATGGCCAATAAGTACATGAAAAGGTGCTCAAACTCACTGGCTATTAGGGCACTAGAAATGAAAACACAATAAAATACTACTTCACACCCACTGGGAAGGGTACTACCCAAAAGATGAAAAGCAAGAAGTGTGGTGAAGATGAGGATGTGGAGAAATTGGAACCCTCATCTGTTACTAGTGGGGATGTAACATGGATACTGCTTTGGAAAACAGTCAAGGAGTTCTTCAGGTAGTCAAACACAAGAGTTAATGTCATTGCTGCTGGTAAGTTCTGACTCACAGCAACCCTGGATAGGGTTTCCGAGGAGTAGCTCGTTGGTTTGAACCACCAAGCTTGCAGTTCAGTGTTTACCCTGTAGTGCCTTCTTAATGTAAACCCAGGAGAGCTGAAAACATATGCAAGTACAAACTTTTACATGAATGTTCATAGCAGCATAATATATATAATAGCGCAAAGGTGAAAATAACCCACAGTCCATCGACTGATGAATAGAAAGTTATATATGACAGATCTATTTGATGAGACATTATTTAGTTAAAAAAGGGAAAGAGGTATTGATTCATGCTACAACATGGATGAATTAAAAAAAAAAAAAAAAAAGCCAAGTGAAAGAAGCCAGACACAAAATGGCTTTTTGTCACATGTTGAACAATTTCATTGACATGAAATGTCCTAAATACAAAATCTGTATTTGCCAGGAATTGGGGGGAGGGTGGGATGCGAATGACTATAGATAAGAATAGGGTTTCTTTCTGAGGTGATGAAAGCATTCTGGAATTAGATAGTGGTAATGGTTGTGGCACTGTAAGAGAAGCAGCAGATTGTGAACCACAAGGTCGGTAGTTCAGACCCACCAGTAGCGCCTCAGAAACCTTCTACAGGGTCACTATGAGTCAGAACCGACTCGACAGCACTTAACAATTACAATGGCTGTGGCACTGTAGGATCAGCACTGAACTGTGAATCATAAGGTCAACAGTTCAAACACACTAGTTGCTACTCGTAAACCTTATACAGGGGGAGTTATGAGTCAGAACCAACTTGATGGCACTAACAACCACAACAGTTACATAACCTTGTGGATATATTAAAACACCACTGAACTGTACATTTAAAAGAGTAAATTTCATAGAATATGAAAATGTCAACAATTCTGAAATGTTTCTGGACGATTAACTACTTTGAGAGCTGTGAAATTTCTTCCATGAAAAAAAACTTTCCAGATATACACAAAATCTTGACCTTGATTTTAGTAGATGACATGACACCTAGAAGCTAATTAGGGAAGCTGTGTTCTAAATCTCTGATGAGTAAACAGTTTAAATCCCTTCAAAAATCTTCGAACACTCTTATATAAGGGACATGACTTCTTCAACTGAGGGAGCTGACAAACGTTGACGTCACTGGTTGGAAGCTGTTTTCAAGGGTAAATACCTTGAGTAGCTTAAACTCAGTCTGACTTTCATCTGAGGATTCAAGGGAAGTATATACACATTTTTTTAAAACCAAATAATACCTATGTAACATTTATAGGGACAGCGACAGTGTACAAGGTATTGTGACAAGAGCTATTCAATCAAGCCCTCACTACAATCTTATGAAGTGGTGGTGGTTATGTGCCATGAAGTTGGTTCTGACCCATAGCAGCCCTGCATAGGGTTTCTGAGGCTGTAAATCTTTACGGGAGCAGAAAGCTTATCTTTCTTCCTTAGAAGAGCTGGTAGTTTCGAACTGCTGACCCTGAGGTTAGACCCGACTCATAACCACTACGCTCCCAGAGCTCTTTACAGTCCTATGAAGTAGGTTTCTATAATTCCCACTTTATAAAAAGGGAAACTTAAGTTTAGTAAGATCAGCCTGTCCACAGTGTCCCTGCTGCTTGAACCAAGGTCAGTACATGATACAAAGCCCATGAATTTAAGTAAGAAGTGACTCCAGTTCCATGAAAAGAAAATCCCTACGATTTCTGTGAAGAGCTAATTCATTAATACTTACGGGAAACATTCCAGCGGCAATACCTAACAGTAACAGGGCATGGTGATGGGTCTGAGGCATCTCAGAAAGGCGAATGCACTGAACTATCAATTCCACATTGAATTTTTCCTCATCTAGAATAGCTACAGTGGTGAGGGAGAAAAAAAAAGGGGGCTAAGTGGCAGGTACATTTATACTCAAAGTAAATGACTTTTCTACTTTTTTTTTCATTAAAGACATACCTTTTGGTACTTTGCCACCATCTGGAGATAGTTTTTGGCAAATGTTGAGCAGGCAACTAAGAATTAATTGTTTGGTGTATTCCATATTTCCCTGCTCCGACGGTAAAGGTTCTAAACATCTTCAGGCCCCCGGAAAAGAGACGATTAAAAAATAAAAACTTTGTACAATTTCAGTGTCACATCTAAAATTCATCAAGTAAGAAATAATCCTGAACACACCATATGAAGTCTGCAGTGTTTTATCTGACTGGTAGGTGCTTATGTCAAATGACCTCTTTATTGCACTTTCCACCAGCCTCGGTGGTGCACTACCGTGACACTGTAGGATAAACACTGGGCTACAAGATCGGTGGTTCAAACACACCAGCCACTCTTTGGAAACCCTATACAGGGGAGCTATGAGTTGAAACGGACTCAACAGACTTAACAACACAACATATGGACTCTTAGAAAAAACTTTTGAGAATTACTTTGTTTTACAGATAGAAGACACATCCGCAACTCAGTAACATACTTTATAGGCAGAAAATAAAGCAGATGCCACTCTACATCTTTAAATACAAGTTAACAGTGCCCCCAAGAGGTTATACAGGGTCCTTCTCAAGATCAGAATCTTCACATTTAAGAAGAAAACTAGGATGGTGGCTCATTAGCTACATAATAAATGAATGAACATCAGTTTGGGCACAGTGGTAATGGGTACCAGAAACGGTTTCAACCTAAGTACTATAATTACATCACTTTACAGATTAGTTGAGTTTAAAAAAAACCCAGAGATAATGGTAAATGAAATCAGATGGACATGAACTAAAATTCTATTGATCAAAGCCAAGTATCACTACCTTGAAAGCAAGTTAAACAGAGTTGGTATCAGTATCTGCGGACTTCTGAGTTTCTTTTTGTGCTGCAGTAATTCTAGGATGAGAGTTACTCTTTGCCAGTAAGAACCTCCCACGTCCAGAACAGAGTCCATATCCTGTGATTTTCTGAAAAACAGATACGACCAAAAGTTGAAGAAGCAAACACTATAAAGCTAAACATAAACTACTGTGCTCTGTCATGCCAAAGTGATGGTATTCAAAAATCACAACAAAGGTTTCGTAACATTCCAGACACTGGAAATAGCACGTTCTTATTGTATTCACAGCTCTTACTTCTGTTGCATTTTCTGCCTTCTTGTTTGCTGAATTGTGCCCAAAGATTTAGCTTTATCTGGTGGCTCCAGTTCTATTTTGACTTGTTCAGCTTTAACAGATATCTGAAACAATAAAGCAACAAGTTGATGATATAATCTTATGGGATAATATTAGATCAATAAACCTTGATTAAATGAAATATAATGAAAAGTTTTGTATCCAGTCTAGCCCACCACTTAGTGGTCAGTTTGCCGTACCTTGGTGGCTTGTGTGTTGCTGTGATGCTAGAAACAATGCCACCAGTATTTTAAATACCGGCAGGGCCACCCATGGTGGGAAGATTTCAGCGGAGCTTCCAGACGAAGACAGACTACAAAGGGGAGGCTGGCCACTTCTAAATGGTTTCGCACAAAGATCGCTATCTTGAACATTATTGTTAAGTGCCATCGAGTCGGTTCTGACTCAGTGATCCTATACAGGGTTTCCAAGGAGCAGCTGGTGTGTGTTTGAACTGCCAACTTTGCAGTGAACAGTCCAGTGCTCATTCTACAGTGCCACACCAGGACTCCAACTTAGGGTCAGTGAGCTGAAAGGGACAGGCACTGGCCATACTGAATCTGACAATCATATGGTTTACTATACAACCAGAATGCTCCTTAGAAGTGAGTACGGGTAAGACTTAAGCTCTCATTCTTTGCACGTATTGTTAGGAGGGACCAGTCCTTGGAGAAGGACATCATGTTTGAACGAGTGGAGGGTCAGTCAAAAAGACGAAGATCCCCAGCGAGATGGTCTGAGATAGTGGCAGCAAAGAGGGGCTCAAACATCACCACAACTGTGAGGATGGTGCTGGACTGGGCGATGTTCTGTTCTGTTGGGCACAGGGTCACGGGTCACTAGGAGTGGCAGGTGGCGTGATAGCACCGAACATGGTGGGGGCTCCAGAAATCTGTTCCTTTAAAAAGGTTGACATCACAATTGATCCAAAGAAACCCCCACAAAATAGATAATTTTAAGACACCCAGGGAAATACGATTCTGGATGGGATGTTAGCTCATATGCAGGACTTATTTTTTCCAAGTGCAATGACAGTACCGTAGTTGCAGGGCAGTGAATTACTTCATATGGCTCTCCACCATCCGGGTAAGAGAAGGTGGGAAAAGATGCTGATAGGATTTTATGGTTCAGTTGTAACTGGGTAAGAGGATTAAATTCTGATTGTAAAAACTCAGAACTCTAACATGGATATAAAAGGAGGCAGCTCAGGAGCAGGAGAAGACTCAGGAGTGGAGCATGTGCTTCCCATCATGTGGAGTAAGTTAAGCTGAGGGACTCTGGGCAGGAGGCCTGCTTACAGAGGAGGGTGACTTACCTTGGGGAGCTAGCAGGCTTGCTGATCCACATCCTGTGGGCATCAGTCAGCAGCCCTATGAGCTTTCTAACACTGGCTGGGCAGAGATCCTGCTAGTGGGTCTGACTGAGGAGAGGCTGTGCTGACTGCCCTGAGCCTTTCTGACCCTGAATTTGTAACCTGTTAACTTTCCTAACGAATCCTTTACCTCTGAGTATGGGGTCTGAGTTCTGTGTGGCCACTGCATGGAATTTTCAAATGCAGTTAAGTAGACACTGCCATGGGAGGGATAGTTTGGTAACACCATTTACTGGGGGTAGGAGTTATATAAATAAGAAAAGGTCACTTTTTAAGTGTTGCATACTTAAAAAGTATGTTGTTGTTGTTAAGTGCCGTAGAGTCGGTTCTGACCCATAGCAACCCTGAATAGGGTTCCCAAGAAGCAGCTGGTAAACTTGAACTGCTGACCTTGTGGTTTAAACTGACTTTGCAGTCCAGCACATTAACCCACAGTGGCACACCAGGACTCTGTATAAGGATGAAAATTTTCAGTTTAAAAAAAAAAAAGTCTAATTTTAAAAAGATGCAGACTGCCACTTTTTAATTGGTGCGTAACAGTGGTGGTGGTGTGCTGTGGAGTCGGTTCCACCTCACAGTGACCCTGCCTACGGTTTCCGAGGCTGTAAGTCATTACGGGAGCATAAAGCCTCATCTTTCTCCCATGGAACTGTGGTAGTTTCGAACGCAGCCCGAGCTACCATAGCTGCTTATACTGAAGTAAATAGGGATGAAAGTACCTTTTTATGAGATTTACTTTAAAATACTCAGAGAGAAGAAAAAGGGGGTAGATTAAATAAATCAGTTAAAATTCTGAAAACTGCGCTTCTTGATTTTTGTGAATGAATTTTTCTAAAAAACCACAACAAAACAGATAACGCATCCCCAGGTAGCTGCTGTTCTGATATACGGCTAGATTTCAATACACATATAAAACCAATGAGAGCAGAGTCTCAACTCCATCATACATTTGTCAATAAGCAACTAGTTACACACACACACACGCTACCTAGTTACAATTATAAACAAATATTCCAGACAATAAAAAAATGAAGGTCAAAACTTACAATTTTGTACTTTCCTGTGACTCCTGTTAATGGTAACACTGGGCTTTTAAAAGCATTGCTAAATGGAGGGTATTTAAACACGTGGTGCTACTACAAGAAAGTACTCATTAATAAACAAATTACAGAAAGTTAGCAACTTACCCCTTTAAAAACACTGCTAACAGTCTGAGCACAATGTGTGTTTTTACAGTTCACCAACAAATCAAACATCATTCCCAATAGCTTCTGTTGAACTTTCTCATCTGATATAGCTGCAAAAAATGGCTTTGTAATCTAAAAGAGGTGTAAAAAAGGCCACAGAATTCAGTTAACAATCTTTAACTCCAAAAATGATCTTTATAATGCACCCTAACCAAATTCTCCCTCAAAATGTAAAGTGGCTCGCTCCTCATTTTAGCCTGCCAATTATGAGGTAATTCTTTTTATTTGCCTACATACAGATTTCAGTTTGGCAAAATGAGTCAAATATATATATCATGCTCCTTTAAAAGCATCCAGTCCTTCATCAGGTAAAACATTATACATTAAAAAATGATTCAAAGTACTTTAGTTTGTGAAGAAGTTACCTTTTCAAGGGTTGCGATCTGAATGGTTGGCATGGCCATGCCAAGTTCCTCTGTTGTGTACGCAGCTTTCATGAAGGTGTCGAGACTGCCTGGGTCCTTATGTAGAAGGGAAGCTGAGTACTCATTGTACTTTCCAAGGGTGAGATGTATAACAAGGGCCTCGTCTTTCAGCACAGTTGCGGGCTCCTTCTGGATCTTTTCCAGTAGTTTTCCAACCAGAGGCAACAGGTGAGAAAGGACCACCTACAGTTTGAAAACCTTATTAATAGTTACCCATGCTGAGAGAGGAATCCCTGTGTGGCACTGCAGGATAAGCACTGGACTGCCAACAACAAGGTTCAAACCCACTGGCTTCTCCTCAGAAATCCTATACAGGGTTCACTGAGACAGAAACAATTCGATGGCACTGTAACAATAAATACTGATAGACGAATCCTCACGAGTTGCTGTAGGAGAAACACTGGCCTAAAGGTCGGCAGTTTGAATCTGCAGCCACTCCTTGGAAACCCTACACAGGGTCCCTATGAGTTGGAACCGACTCGATAGCACTTTACAACAACAGCTGATATTAAAGTTTGTGCTTGCTTTATAATGGCATCCAGAGCTGCCATTCAGGAAGAGGGGAAAATAAACCTGGAGGAAGATAAACCGCACCAGTTCATAGTAAAACATACTCAGGTCTTCTCTGATAGCTCCATCTATAATGTGCAAAAAGTGTTAAATCCTCAAGCACAGAAAAGGATCATGTGAGTATTTAAGATACTCTGAGAACAGGAAACAGAAAATCAATTTAACAATGCTTGCGGCACTGTAGGGTAAGCTCTGGACTGCTATCTACAAGGCTGAGGGTTCAAACCCACCAGCAGCTCCTCGGAAAACCTATTCAGGGCTGCTGAGTTGAAACCAACTCAATGGCACTTATCAAGATCTTTGTGTACTTCCCCCAAACAACGTTCCAACTTTTTATTTCTGTTGTTAAGTGCCATTGAATCAGTTACAATTCAGTGAGCTGGTATAGGGTTTCTAAGGAGCAGCTGGTGGTCTGAATCTCCGACCTTGCGATTAGCAGTCTAGTGCTTACCCTACAGTGCCACAATAATAATAATGTGAATTATGCATGTGTAGTCTTTAAAGACAAAATTAAGGATTAGCAGATTAGGGCTCATCCACCTGTTTTACAGATACAACCCTGCTCACTCACTCATACACTGTTTATGGCTGCTTCTGAGCTACAAGGGTAGAGCTGAGAACCTGCAACACGAGTCACATGGTCTGTTAGAGATTACTCTTGTTTGGTCAATTCTGAGTCACATGAGCCTACAGGACAGAGCAGAACCGCCCCCACAGGGCTTCCTAGGCTGTGAACCTGTACGGAAGCAGACGACCACGGCTCCCTCTTTACCCTCCAGCCACTGGCAGGTTTGAACCGCCAGCCTTTGGATTAGGTTAGCAGCTGAGTGTTTAACCACTCCTATAAGATTTACTATCTGGCATTTTAAAGAAAAAGCTGGTTGACTCCTAGCCTCAACTATTTCTATGAATAAATGTCAAGTCTGTTCCCCGGAAAATACAATCGAAGGAATGGTCTTCCCTCCATTGGACCCAGCACAGCTCTCGGCGTCAGCAGGCAATGCAACACCGTGAAGAGCGCAGGCATCGGGAGCAGTGGGGTGCTGGGGCTCATCCTCTGCTCACCAGCACCTATCATCGTTAAACAAGTGCTTCCTAACCTCTTTCTTTTATATCTTCTCCTTGAAGCTATGAACTTTCCTCCCTCAGAAACATTAACAAACAGAAGCATTTTAAAAACTGGCAAATGATTTAGGAATGTTCAGTCACAGGCCTTGAGGCCTGCATTATTTTCTGGACAATTTTCATTTAAAAACACACACCAGGCAATACTTCCTTCAGCAGTGCATCCTCAGTACTTTTCCTTATCTGATTTAAAATCACTTAAAATCGAATTAATGATTGTTGTTGTTAAGTGCCGTCAAGTTGGTTCCAACTCATAGCAACCCTACGTAAGGTTTCTGAGGAGTTGCTGGTGAGCCTGAACCGCCAACCTTACAGTACAAACCGACTTCGCAGCCCAGTACATTAACCCACAGCACCATACCTGGACTCCAGCAATAAATGATTAGACACACTTTAGTTAAAAAACTAAAACTCACCACTACTTGCTTTCTTGTATATTGCATCTCAACTCTTCTACTTCCCAAATTATTAAGGAAATAATCACTTTTGAGTGCTTATGTATAAAGCCTGCAAATGTCTTCCTCATATAGGTAGGCACAATATAAATTCTTTAGAAGCACCACCATATGCAATACACAGTACACTTAAATCACACATACCTCACTGTTGACGTGTTGGAGTATTTTCAACAAGTCTTTTGCAATATAAGATGGGCAATGATACACACAATTAAGCAGGTGTTTCAAGGTTTCAGTCAACTTTTGATGTGATTTTAGTTTCTTTTCACCCTGCAGTTCCTCAAATAAAGTAGCCAAATCCTAGAATACAAAAGAAAAAAAATGGATTAAAAGGTTTTAAGGAACACATATGTATTAATTACAGAAGATTCTTTCTCAAATGATCTGACACTTTTATTTCCCCTTAAAAACTGCTATTATGTTTCTATCAAAAAAACCACAGGTTACTCTTTTATCCAATAAGCAGCGGACTTGAAAAATCTAAACACTTTTCTTCTTTATTTCTTCATCAGCAAGCCTTTAAATTTGCATTTTATGCAACATCTTTATGCCTAATTCAGACCCAATGGTATTGGCTGCCTTTTAAAACTGGGGGCTGAAACATGCAGATAGCAGTTTCTTGACCCAAGGACATCATTCCTGGGCATCCACAAGTGTGAACACACTCAATTCTCTTTGCGAATGAGGCTTACCTGAACAACATAGGTGGCATCTGAAGTGACCTCCTCAGCTTTAGGAACCACATGATCGATTATCAGCTCAAACGGGGACTGCACTCCGCTGAGGGCCTGCAGAGCCTGTACGGCAGCACGGCGCACTTCCTTTACCGGGCTTCCCAGGTTAACGAGCAGCGATACCACCACTGAAACCACAGGGGAAAACACAAGGAACACTTTAAAACGTAAACAGTACAAAAAGGGTTTCTAATCACATTTGTGTCTCAACTCAAGCTCCCTCTCCAAAAGGCAATCGTTGCTTATTGACTATTAATTCAAGAAACGAGACTACGCTTTCTGGGCACACTCTCTTGAAAATGTACGAGAGATCATAGTGTATACATCATGTCGCACCGCAATTCTGAACCAACACTATCACATCTCAACGTATTTTACATTTTGAAAGTTTTCTAAAAGGGTAGACTTATGTAAGTAAGTCAATCATCCTTTCTATATGCGCAATGTGGTTAAGTACTGCCAAGTTGGTTCTGCCTCATAGCGACCCTGTGAGAGGTCGTATAGTCTGTATTTTTCAAGCCACTACTTTACTGGTAACTGTTCAGACTGCTTTTAGTTTCTGGGATTAGAATGTTGTGACCAGTACTCCTATACACAAATCACTTAGCCATCTGTCCATCATGCTTTGTATCGATTTTTTCTGCTTTTATCAGAGAGATTTTGTAGTTGAACTTTCCTTATGACTTAGTCTGTTGCTTAGAAAGGCCCTAAACAGTCTCGGTGCATTTAAAAAAACACCATTCCTATATCTAGAAAGAGCTCTGTTAGCTTAGTTGTTGCGAGTTGGGCTGCTAATCTCCCGGTCAGCAGTTCTAAATGACTAGCGGCTCCGGGGGAGAAGGACGAGACTTTCTGCGTCTCAGTAAAGGTTTCTAGCCTCAGGAACCCTGTACAGCGTTGTTATGAGTCGGAACAACTCCACAGCACATAACCACCACCACCACCTAGATCTACAGTACTCTCACACTTCTAGTATTAGAGGTAAGTTTTTGTATTAGCTTGACCAAGTTCACTATTCGTGAGGACTGCCTTGACAGTACTTAACAGCATCATCTATGTAACAGTACAGATGATAAGGAAAGCTGGTGGGATCAAGGCCGCTTTATCTCACATTCATATTAATCCATAAGTATTTGAAACTCATCTAAAACTACATTCAATAATGGTGAAAACAACCTTGTTACTGAATTTAACGGGAATGTCTTTACTTTCCCAGTTATGCAATGAAAATAACAGCATTTGATCTGAGAAGCATTTTTATCAATTGTCTGTACAATCTTGTCATTTTAGGCCAACAGTTTGAAACTACCAGCTGCTCCATGGGAGAAAGATGAGGCTTTCTGCTCCCATAAAGATTGACAGCCTCGGACACCCTGTGCAGGGCCACTATCAGTCAGAACCGACTCCACGGCACGTAACAACAACAACAGAACCAGAAGATACAGGAGTCCTGGTGTGGTGCTGTAGGATAGGTACTGAAATGCTAATCACAAAGCTGGCAATTCAAACCAAGCAGCTGCTTCCTTGTAAACACTATATACAAGGTCACTATGAGTTGGAACTGACTCAATAACTCTTAAAATCCAAACACAAAATAAAAATATTTCTAAATTAGGAATAATTACAGGTTTTTATTTAATGTCTTTTTAGATCTCTGGCTAGGATTTTGTGGCTTTTCTCCTTCAAAATACTGACATAATTAGTTAGATTAACAGTGCTCTTAATATTAAATCAATTATATCTTTGTTAAATATGAACTCTATCTGGACATTCTATTTATCAAATTAACTGCTGGATTCTATTTGTAAATATTTTATTTAACATTTTACATGAATACTCATAGCAACTGTGGCCAATTGCTTTTTTCTGTTATCTTTCTCAATTTTCATGGCAATGCTAAGGCCTGTTTTAATCAAAGCAGCTTTCCTTCTCTTTCTCTGCCCTAGCCAGCTCAGTAACACTAGAATAACCTGTTTCTGGTAGAATGCACTGGGGATTTTGTGAAGCGAGGTTTCTAGGACAAAAAGACAGCACCACTCCGTACATGGTAATGAGCTATTTACGATTTATTTCAGTCTACCTACTGGGACAGATTCTTGCAAGCTGCATTTCGTTACAGACGATCCATTTCTTGTATCTTAGCCTAGGTGGTGCACCGCCAACCTCAAGGCTGCTGGTTCGTACCCACACAATGGTGCATGGAAGACAATCTGGCAATCGGTACCCATAAAGTTAGCCAGGAAAACCCAATGGAGAAGGCCTACTCTGTGGCACAAGGAGTTGACACATGTCAGAATCCACTCAATGCAATGGGTTTGACTTTGGTTTCCTAAATCCTAACCAAGAGCTTGGCGGGTTTTTATGGGTTCAGATCATCCTATGAAAGCTAGAAATTCCTTCTGATTGCTGAAAGGTTAATTTATAAAACAAAGTCAGAAACTGTTGGAAAGGTATATTCACACAAGGGGCAGCTTCAAGCCAAGATATTAATTTGTTACTATTCCCTGTATAGTGGAGCAAAGTTTGAAGACAAATTCCAAGTATTAACTACTATGGCTACCCTGTTCAGAAAGGTACTAACACCCAATGCAAGTCAAAGCTACATTCAAGTTATCAGCTTTAAAAGATTTCTTCTACTTAAACATCTGTGTGGGAAAAAAAAAGGAAACTATTAGATAGTTTCATTCAAGGCAGTTTTAACATTCTCAGATGTTCTTAAAACAGTAAAATAAAACAACAGATTGATCTTCATTCTTTTTTATTTTCTCTCTTTTATTCTTCTCTCCCTCCTTTTGCTTTCTGGTTTCTGTATTCTTTTTATAGTGGTTGCCTGCTTTTTAGTCTTTTTTTGTTGTTGTTATTTGCTTGTTTCTTTTCTTTCTGTCGTATGTGCGTGTTTTCTCTTCTTGCCCCACCCAACAGGACACAGAAACTGAGTCCATACAAACCCAGCCACAACCCCACCCTCCAGACAAGTCCCAGTACAAGCTGCTATACACTGGTGGTGGTGGTAGTAGCATGCTGTGGAGTTGGTTCCAACTCATAACAACCCTATATAGGCTTTCCGAAGCTGTAAATCTTTACAGGAGTCAACGATTTCTGTTAATGTGAAGAAATAAGACACTAAAAAACAAACTTGTGGCTCAAACAGGTGACCAAAAGGCAGAGTTAGAAAGAGTCTTTGAAGAAAAAGTCACTGAATTATCTGAAAAAGAATTCAAGAGACTGACATTTGGGTACCTCCAAAATGACTGTCAGAAAGGTGAAGGAAAACAAGGAAGACCTCAGGAAAACAGTACAGGATCAATCAAATAAAACAGACAAAACCTGCCAATAGAAATCCAGATTAATAATAAGATTTCAAAAATGGACAATAAATACAGCGAAAGGGCAAAGGAGCAGATTTGTATAGAAGCCTGAATTACTGAGCTTAAAGGTAAGTCTCCCAATACTAGCAAGCTAGAAGAAAAATAAGGTAAAAGAATGAAAAAAATCTGAATAAAGCCTAAGATTCATGTGGGACAACATGAAGAGGTATAACTTAAGGGTCACTGGAATTACAGAGTAGGAAGACACAAAGCAAAGTATAGAAAAGAGAGTCAAGGGGCTACTGGAAAAAGATTTCCCTAACAGCATGAAGGAGCCCTCGTGTGGTAGTATGGGATAAGCACTTGGCTGCAATGTTGGTTTGAACCACAAGGTTGGCAGTTGAAGTCCACCAGCTACTCCTCAGAAACCCTAGACAGGGTCACTGTGAGTCAGAACTGAATCTACAGCAGTTAATAACAACACCATGAAAGACCAGAAAAAAAGCACTCATGAAGCTGAACAAACCCCAAACAGGATAGACCCCAAAAGAACACCACAAAATATACCAAAATCAAACACAAGGAAAGATTCCTGAAAAACGAAAAGATCCTGACAAAGAAGAACCAGTAAGATTACTCAGCAGAAACCAGACAGGTAAGAAGGCAATGGGGAGATATAAAATTGGCAATCAAGAATCATATACCTAGCTAAACAGTCCTGCAAATACGAGGGCAAAATTAGAACATTCCCAGATAAACAGAAATTAATGGAATTTGTAAAATCCAGACAAACTTTCTGCAAAACACTAAAGGCAGTCCTCTGAAATGAGAACCAACAAGAGCAAAAATTGAGATATATAGCAATACCACCCAAAATTCAATCCAGATATAGATGTATCCACGCTACACAAATCCACAAGACAGAAATAAGTTAGGAGATAGAGACATCAATTTGTAGTGAAGAAACTACAAAGCAAAATGAGGGAAAGTGTAGTTACAGAACTTCCAAGTGGCAAGTAAATTAAGTAGATTTCAAGATAAAACAGACGGTTTTAAGCTGAGGAAGAAATTAATAAATTGCAGGATACCTCAAAGAAAATTAATACATCTTCACATCAAATCAAGAAAAGGGAAAACCATGAAGATTTAGTAAACATGAAAACAACAGCAATAAGGAAACTGAAAAGAAAATGTATAAATAAATCTAACTCAGTACAGAAAATTATGTGGCACAAAGAAACCAGCAGCATCACCAAAAAACATAGCAAAATGACAGCAACCAATTCATACCTATCTATCACTACACTGAACGTCAATAGATTAAATGCACCAGTCAAAAGAAAAAGCGTAGCAGAGTGGGTTAAAAAAGAGCATCCTTCATTATGTTGCCTACAAGAGACATACCTGGCACATAAAGACAAAAGTAGATTAAAAAAAAAAAAAAAATTCAAAGGGTAAAAAATATATCAAGCTAACTCCAATAAAAACTGAGCAGGGACTGCAGTTCAGGAGCGGAGATCCCTGGAACCATCAAGGGAGAAAAGTGAAGTGCGAGACCCTGTCCAGAGAGGCAGTGACACTAGGGATGGAGGCAGAGGCAATGACGTGGACAGAAGGAGCGGCTGCGGTCTCTGGACTCAAGGAGGAAGAGGGGCTGTATGCTGGCGGCCAGGGGGCAGGAGTGTGGGGTGTACCCTTTGTGTGTTTGATGATGCATGCAGGGGATTGTGATCATTGCAATGAAACAAAGTACGTACGATAGGATGAATGTAAAGATAATGTTCACCCATGTAAACTAACACATAATTCACAATAAAAAC